ATGTTTTATGGAGCGTCAAGCATAGAAGGAAAATCCCGAATGGGTAGATGTGATTCGAGGATAAAGGCAAGCACATCCCACAGGAGCGCTTGCGCTCTTTTTTTCTTTCTCTTTCCATTGCTCTATGTGCAACGAAGAAGCTCTTCCTATATAAAAGCCGCCACTTGTTGAGCAATGTTCATACCTGCACCACATCGTGGATATCGTTTTACACATTGCGTGGCTTTATGATCTCGCGAGTTCGTTTCTCCAAGTTTGAATCGAATTGAGTGATTATCTTCCATTTCTCCTCAGTGTTATCGTCATTTTTTTGGCAGCTAAGCATTTCCCTGTTTCTTTTATCAGGAAAAGTGACGCTCACTTGCGATCATCTCAAGACACTTAATCCAATAAGCATTGCATAAAAGTAGGTGGTTTTTTTTTCAACTAATTTTTCTTAATTTTTTTTAAAAATTTTTTCACTCTATTTTATTTTATCTTTTTTTTTTTTTTTTTTTTTTTTTTTTTTTTTTTTGGTATTCATGGGAGTTTTAATGTTTGTATAATTGGTAGTGAAAGCATTTTACTTTCGATCAGATGGTTCGCCTACATTTACAAACGTTTAAGTCATGAGTAAAGAGTGGCAACGATTATTTCCCTATGAATAATAAAAGAAAGGTCTATTTTATAAATTTTTTATTTTATTAAACGGTAAATTACGAGGAAGCGAATATTGTAAGCCACGGGAAATTACAAAAGTCGGAAGGGGGGTAGCGAGAGAAGTCTGTGCTTTTAATAATATCGACTGTTCCTATGATTTAAACATATAGTTGTGTCTTTACAACGATTCTTTTTTCTAAAATATCAAATTATACGTAAACATGCATTATAACTGTGACTGTTTTTACAATTGTTTTTATGCTCGTACTGTTAGTTATATATAATTTAATTTTATAAGGTAGTATAATTGAAATAATTAATTGATCCGAAGTTATAAATACACTGTCAAACACCACATTAACTATATTTTAATTTGGTAATTTAGAAATGACCGTTCATTGGAACAATGACATTATTTTATATTTTCATTATAATAATAGTCTTTTATTGGTAGTTAATGAGTTCATTTTACTAACTAAAATTTCAAATAAGCAAGTACATTATGAAAATTTTAGAATTTTACAATTGCACAGATCGAAATTATATGCTAAAATATTTATCTGTTTAATACTGAATTATACTCCTTAAATTTTACTTCGAGTGATCGAAAGTTTATATTAGATGATTTATATATTCTATTCTTCTAGTTGTCATTAACTTTTATTACATTATCAATCATTCTTAATTCCAATTCCATCACATTTATAATTAATTAAATAAGACAATAAATCGTTAGATTAGATTTGTACTGAATTTAATCAATTTTTAATAATTTTTATGTTATTTTTACTAATAAAGTATTTACGATAATAGCTATACGAAATAGAGTTTTATCTTATCTGTCCATCGTATCTTTTTTTTTTTTTTTTTTTTTTTTTTTTTTTTTTTTTTTTTTATGCAGCTATTTTGTTATCCTTCTTATTGAAAAATTATTATTTAATAAAAAATCTATAATGATAGTTTGTTTTAATTTAATTGAAAATGATAATAAAAAATAGAAAGGTTTTAAAAGAAAGGGAGGAAGAAATCGTTCATACGAGCACAAAGATAGGCTACTTAATATACTTAATACAAATATTTTAGAAATATTGTCTATGCTTTATGTATTCGAGCTTTAACTTAAAAAAATATTAGTTTAAACAAAATACTTGGGGCTATTTTAATGAAAATTTTGCAAATAAGAATTTAAATGAAAAATATATTATAATTGAAATCACGTACGTTATAATTTGTCCAATAAGCATATTATCGTAGAAAAATATATAAATGTATAAATTTTAATTTATGATTAGTTCGTTAGCAACATTCGAGTGAACCTTGGTCGATTGTGTAGTAACTAATATTTTCTGAAGCTTTAAGTGATCGTCGCATCTTCGCCAATAGTGCATGTAAAAGAAAATAGTCCCCATTGAAGCTTTTCAATCTACCTAAATTAATTACAAGAGCGTTTATTGGATATTGACGTTTATGTTCAAGCCAATCATAAATATATTCTCCAGCTGTTCTTGTACGTAGTAATAAAGCGCCTAAATTCTTAGAAAATTTTCAGTTTTTATATTCAATTTTATTCGATGGCTGAAAGATCACGAACTAAAATTGATGATAAAACTCATTATGGTTTAAAGATTACCATTTTATTCCAATGACGATATCCGGGAGCGCCTATGCCCTATTCAAAATTGCAAGTGATTATGTACACAACTGGGAATGACAATATTTTTTCCCACTGTGTAATAATATTGTAATTCTCAGTTATGGTGGAGTGAATTTATATTAATGGGAAATAATGAAACTTCTGAAATTAAAATTGGGTGTAATGAATGTAGTGTAATGTCAGTCGTTAGTTAAGAAGACGTCGTGATTACGCAAGAACCTTAATGAAATTGAATATAATTGTAAATGCTGAAAAAATTTAAAAAAAAAATGTTTAATAATTATTTCTTTATTGAGAATGGACTATAAATGTTCGATTATTTTTTTAATTTTAATACATTTGGCAAAGATATTCATCTTCATTATTAATCAATAATTACGAATCTTGATAACCGTTACATAAATATTTCTCGTTTCCCATATCAAATTCTCTTTTAATCTATTATGTAAGTAAAACGCATATAACAAAACATTGATAAAGTTTTCAATAAATATCACGCATACAGATGTCAATGATAAAATTGAATTTTTTCGCAAGAATGTGATCATAAAAATTCCGCATCAATTATTTTTCTAAGATTTTTAATTCCTTATAGTGAGATATAAGAGCTTAACATTTGGAAATTTTGGGGCTACAACTTCACTATAGCGTATCAATTTAAAAATATGAGCGCACGTAAATGTTTCAACGGCTCTATATATATTAATGTCAATTAGTTTTAAATGTTCATACGAATATAAATTTTGTAAAATTTCAATTCTCATTTATCATCCAATGTCTTATAATACTATCATGAAACAATTAAATTTATTCAATTTAATGAAATAATTTAATTTATAATAATATACGTCACATATACTCGAATTTATATATAATTAAGTTTCAATCATTATATATAGAGGATTTTAATATTAAATTTATCGACTTGAGTATTATTGAAAAATAATTACGTAAAGGTTGAATTTTAAATCTATAAATTTTTCTCTATATATTTAATCGAACCTTGAATGCAATTATTAAAACAATATCATTAAAAATAATAATTAATTTAAAGAGAAGACTACATCAACCTTAATAATACAATACTTAAAAAAATGTAATGCTAAAAATAATATATATATATATATATATATATATATCGACATACATGTTTCTATATTACGTGCTTGTATATATAAATACATATACACTTAAAATAGGCTAACACAATAAAGAGGTGTGGTGCTATTGGCTTTTAATTCGCTTATAAAGTCTTCGTGGCTTAGAATGGTTAAAGCCTGTTTTACAGATCAAATACTTGAACATTATTTGTAATCAATAATTATACCTGAATTATTGTAAAATAGAATGTATTGCTCTCGATATCGACAATCTATTGTTATATAAAGTACTGATTAAATCTTTTAAATTTTTTGTTGAACGTATAAGAAAATATAAATAAATTAATACCACATACGCGTTGAACTCGTACTGTGTTGAAAATCCTATTATTTATTAATGCAAGTATTTTTGTAAAAATCTTTTCCTTTAGTCTAATCTTAGTCGATAAAGTAGTACATTAATAAATAAATAAATTATTTGGTGTTATAATACTGTTGTATTTGCTTAACCTTATAATGTGGTAAAAAATTATCAAGGTAGATTCGTCAAATAAATGTTATTTAATAATAATAGTAAAGGAAAACTATGCATCTGATAACGAAGTGTATTCTTTTAAATATTTCACGTAAAATTCGAGGTTTTTGAAGAGCGATTAAATTTTCTGAAATGCACTTTGAACTCATTATTATTTATTTTTTTTTTTTTTTTTTTTTTTTTTTTTTTTTTTTTATTGCTTAATACGAAGACATAACTATGAACGAGTGCTTATAGTTAATTTATGAATTATTTTTGAAATAAAGAATTTCAAAGCTGCTATTAGTTTGGTGGATGTTGGTATAAAATTAATAAACAATCGATAAAATGGCAATCTTAACGTTGATGAACATAAAGAATAACGTAAGAAAAGATCAATGTTGCATTGCCGTGCACGTAAACAATTTCGTAACATCTTCAATAGCGATGGCGTATAAATTTCGTTTATACGAATTTATATGCTCCAACACACACACACACACACACACACACACGGAAGACGCGATTAAACGAAGCGAGGAAAGTAAGTATTTAGCTCTAGGCCATGATATGCCTGTGACACTACCCTAATAAGCTCGGACTCAATGACAGTCGATCGATGTACGAATCCGTACAAATAATCGGTCGACGTTTACATCCGCAAAGATTCCCCTCGGCTGGCTAACAATGCACGCACATGTCGTTGAGAACTTGCGTTCTCATTTTCTGATCAGATCGGCACGCTCATACTCTCATCAAATCGCTCACCCCCAACTTTAGTCCTTATCCTCGCGGCTCTTCCACTTTTAGCCTTCCTGTTTGCTTTGATTTTTTTTTGTTTTTTTGTTTTTGTTTTTTTTTTGTTTTTGTTTTAAGGACATTCTTATCCCTCATGCGTGTCAAGCGGTGTGATCGGAATTTTGAAATTTGGGTACTGTAAGAGTACTACTCCCTATCTAGGGCTACGACAGATCGTAAAATACAACGACGGAAGAGTGTAGTCATTCATTTGCTCTATTTGCATTTGCGTTGAAGTTTTTTTGAAGTTTTATTGGTTGCAGAACGTGAAACACCGTGAATTTGTTAGAGGCACTATGAACTTCAATGAATACCGGCAGCATGGTGAGTTGCTCAGTAATATGTTTGACGCTGCTTGTATGTGCCGATTGCTAAGTTTTGCTTTAACATGCCTGTTAAGACGTACATTACCGCGATTCATGATCGAATTTTTGTAATTATTAGTAATAATATTATGTCTGTTATTTTTTTCACGATATTATGATTTTCAAGCTTATTTAATTACATTTAAGACACTGGTTATGCAGATACACTATTGTAACTTTATAATAATTTTATTCAAGTGTTAATTGCGAGAGTATGCTATTTGTTATATAATAATTACCGATACGATAATTCTATTGTACGTTTAAAGAAAAGTGTAGCTGTTTCAGCATAATGCTGATTGTTATTTTCCTTTCCATCTTTTTTATTTTTATTTTATTTGATTATCTGCTTTACTTTATAAGCGAATAAATTTAAATTTACTTTTAAGCTTTAAGTTTCAACGTTTCTTATTGTTATTTAATATTATTTCTTTCGTACATTTGCATTCTTTATTACATATACTATCAATTAAAAACACATTATCTCATACATTCGAAGTAATATTTTATACGAAAGATATTTAACACCGAAGCTTTATACGAAAGCTTATAATTTTGTCGTCGAATTTATTGTCGTACGAGATTTGTAGAAAAATAAGATCTTTCATAATATATATATATATATATATATATATATATATATAAATTCTTTGCAGTCTGTTGTGCGTCGCAAATTGAGTAAATTAGTGGAAAAATGTGCGAATCAATTTGAAAAGATACTTTTAAAATACTATTAAAATGAGATAAATTGAGCTTTCTTATGAGCTGCATTTGAATAAGAGATAAGACGCGAATATACCGTGTGGGTGTTGGAAATGTGCGTCAATAAAAAGAAATGCTAAAGGAAAGGCAAGTTTATGGGCTTGATATTGTCCTCTCCTATAATGCATACGATTCCATAGACTATACTTTTAAACTCCTTAAGCCGCCAATAAATGCTTTTATATCAATTCAATTTCCCGTATACCTAGCCATTCCAAATATTTACGTTCTTTTATTTGATATCAGATTGCTTAAGAATCTGGTACAATGTTGTTTGAAGTTTATTGAGAAATAAATGTTACTAGTACTATCAAAATTTTTTTCGATTACCCTTTATTTATCATTGAAATACGTATGAGTCTACAATGAACAACGAGAGCTTATATTTATAATATTAAAATTCCAAATGTTTAACGCACATGAATAAATCGAAGATATCTTTCGTAAAATAAAGTTTTATACTATTTCAGTTTAATTATTTATCCTAACATTCCCTTTCATTAATGCTTTTTAAATGCTTTTTAAATGCTTTTTGTTCTGCAACTATTTGTGATCATCTTTGAGCATTTATGTTTGTTTGCTCGTATCTATTTTTAATTAAAATGTGTTTGAAATTTCACTGACGGGATTTGTGTCTACAAGCTGCATTATACGTCCTTGCGCGTTAAAACGTTTGTTTGCTCATTTGTCCCTCTATTCATTACAGCCTCTTGTCTGTAATGATTTCCGATCGAGTCTTTATCATTTTCTTCGCTGTATTTTAACCGAAGTTTCCGAATAATCTTGAGATTTTTATCGAAACTGCTCCAACACATCGAGTCTGATCTATTTAGTACTATTACCTTTTTACTTATAAAAATAACAACATATTCATTATTATTATGTATTTTATTTTTTCGACCTAAACAATTCGAAACTAGCATGTTTAAGTTACCTTATCTATATATATATATATATATATATATATATATATATATATATGATATAATAATAGATTTGATAGATTTTGATTTTGAAAAGTATTTAAAACGCTAGAATTTTAACGTTAAAACGTTATTACTGTTCTTTTATTAGAATGTCTTTTATCTTTGTCCATCTATCATTAACACTTTTTTACATGCTAATATCAATTATCTTATGTTGCTCACGCTTATTATTACATTACAATGACTTTTCCGAATCCCCAAAATTTCGATACTTTTACGTAAATGGATCATTAAATTGGCTTTTTTAAATTAAAATTATTTGTGTCTTATCTGTTTATGTAATATTATTTATCAAACAGTTAAATTGTCTTGATCCATATCATTAACATAAATTTATAATTCTTATATGTTTGTTAAGGCAAATGATAATATTAACTATGTCGCATTGAATAATGTTTTATGCATAATATTTATGTCAAGCGATCAATGCTAAGAGAGATAGAATATAATGCGTAGGTAAAGAAATGGTGGACTATATCGCGGATTACCTAGAGAACATTCGTGAGCGACGCGTCTATCCGAATGTATCTCCGGGTTATCTGAGAAACATTTTGCCGTCGTCAGCACCAGTGGACGGCGAGCCATGGAACAGCATCTTCGGCGACATTGAGAAGTGCATAATGCCAGGTGTCACTCATTGGCAAAGCCCTCACATGCACGCATACTTTCCAGCTCTGAATTCACCAGCAAGTCTTCTTGCTGATATGCTTGCTGATGCAATTAATTGCTTAGGGTTCACCTGGGTAAGTGCTGATCTCCTCTTGTTAAAGTTTTGTGGAAGTTGAATTGTGTTGGTGCGTGCGTGCGTGCGTGCGTGCGTGCGTGCGTGTACGTTTGTTTTTCACTTTTTTCTCTCTCATCCATTATTCTTAATACATTGATACTATAATAATCACAAAGTTTACAAAGTTTATTGAGGAATAAATTTTAATTTTTTTAATTTTCTACAATACTTTTAATTGAGTTGTCGCGCCGAAAACTTTATGTACGAGTTGGAAAATTTATTAAATATTAATTAAAAATTGACATTATTAGATTCCATATATCGATATATAATAATAATAATAATAATAATAATAGTAATAATAATAATAATAATTATTATTATTATTATTATTATTATTTATTGTATATTTACTTGTTGTTAGGATTACATGTATATATAATGAGAAAGTAACATTTGATACGTAAAAGCAGTTTTCTTTCTTTTTAATCCTCCAATATGAATAATTGAAAATATACAGAGCAGACACAGACGGGCGCGCGCACGCCGATGAATTATTTCATAGTAAAATAAAGATATGCCAGTAGCTGGTATTATTAAGAAAAAAAAAAGCTTGTGATAAAAAATTGAATAAATGAATGTATTCGTTCAGGCTTCGAGTCCCGTTTGCACAGAATTGGAAACAATCGTAATGAACTGGCTGGGTAAGATGATTTGCCTTCCGGAGGATTTTCTTCATCGAATTGGTGGCCCTGGTGGTGGCATTATTCAAACAACAGCTAGTGAGGCAACTCTCGTCTGTCTCTTGGCTGCGAGAACCAGAGCTATCCGGGAGGTGCAGGAAAATGATCCGCAATCGATGCCTGTCGAAATCAATTCGAGACTCGTAGCCTATTGTTCCGATCAGGTTCATTCGCATTTTCTTTTCATTTGATTGTCGCCCATCTGCCTTTTTATGCCCGAATGTGGCTTATCAATATTATGTTCTATTAAATTTCATTATAGGCCCACTCGAGCGTAGAGAAAGCTGGACTCATTGGATTAGTCCGTATGAGATACATCGACTCCGACGATCATCTGAGTATGAGAGGCGAAATACTCACCGAGGCTTTGCTACGCGATCGAAAAGATGGACTTGTACCCTTCTTTGTGAGTTTCAATTAAATCACTCGTTAATGAATGTTTCTTTAATTCTTTTCATTAATTTTACATTAAAATTACATTATCCTGGAATCGAGAGATCGGCAAATGTTTAATGTTAAATGTTAATATAAAGGTACTGTTATTTCATCTTATTTATTTCCTATGCGGTGCACTTTACTTTTACCAAGAGTTAATTCAAAACAAGACCGACTTATTTCCTATATTTACGACTTATCGGAATTTTGTATATTTTTCTCTATTTGACAATTTTCTGGTGATTGATTCATCTCCATTTAATAATTAATACGAACAAATATTCATTAAATGTCATTGATAATCATCATTATTAAACTCGACAGTATAAATAACGCAGGAATTTTGCCATGTTATTGTCATGTAAGAAAAATTTGAACAAATTCATTCATTTTTTAAATTTTTTATCAGCCGTAATGGGGTTAATAACAATTTAAAATTGTTACTGATTACATATTAAGAATAACTAGATGAACTTTAATAATATTTGTAAAATCAACGTATTATAAGAATAAAATTTTTATTTCTAAAAATTAATGAAGAGCAATATCAATCCTCTTAAAGTATTATTTTAAGATTCTGCTCTTTCTTAATTAATGTTACCTTGTATCGAGATATTTTTTATTGCGCAGAAATAAGCTGATCTTCGCTGCTTCATTCTCATGAGTATTATTGTTGTATAAAAATAATAGCCGACACATTGTTCCGATATTTTATAAAAGAATTCAAATATTAAAATTAATTAGAAATATTGCTCGGTACATTGTGATGCATTGTTAAGGTCCTCGGAAAGTACATTTTTCTATGCAGTGGGTAGGTAGTGGGGCTTGGGCCGATCTAGTTTGAATAAATTCATTGTCATTAATCCTACTGCTCTAATCAATGACGCTCTCGGGCTTCCTCAATTCGCATTTTTATATAAATAAATTTTGCAGGATAACGCAGGTAAATTATTAAAGCAACATACCGCTCCTTAGTCCCTTATTTTTTATCAATTTAACGCTCTCATTAATATGTTCAATAATAATGCAATCCGAATTCTAAGATTGTCTTTCGAATGATCAAGGATCTGGGCTTCAAGTAGTAAGATCTTGAAACCAGCGAGATATAAAGACAATAAATACGAATTAATGATTGTTTAACATGCATATCGTAATGACTAAGAGAATGTATAAGAAGAGGAAAAAAATAATTTTAGGTCTGCGCAACACTGGGCACCACCGGTGCTTGCTCATTCGACAATTTACAAGAGATTGGACCAATATGTGAGAATCGCCATTATATAGTCACGAATAATAATAATAATCACTTGAGTTGAAATTTTCATTAAAATTATTCTGACGAACAACAGGTGAGAAGAATGGCCTCTGGCTACACATCGACGCTGCTTATGCCGGCAGCGCATTCATTTGCCCAGAGTTTCGTTGCTGGATGAAGGGCATCGAACATGCCGACTCCTTTGCTTTTAATCCAAGCAAATGGCTTATGGTGCACTTTGACTGCACGGCCATGTGGTACGCGCCATTTATTTTACTTAGGATTCGCTCGATTCGTTAAAAATCGTTAAGAAAACAAAACAAAACAAAAACAAAAAAACAAAAAAAAAAAAAAAAAAAAAAAAAAAAAAAAAAAATTCATCCAACTAATTTGACATACAGAATTGTTGCCGCGTTGCTTTAGTCGAACGATCATAATCGTTTAATGTTCAAATCATTATCTAAATATGTGGATTGTTAAACACTTGCTTTACGTATTATTATCTTTCTAGGGTGAAGAATAGTCAAGCTCTTCATAGGACATTTAACGTCGATCCCATATATCTCAAGCATGAAAATTCAGGTAATTCAATTCGAGCGATGTCAACGATATTTGACATGATAAGATTTACTTACTTATCATCGTAATAATCAATCTATACCTTTACATACATTACTTTTAATTAATTTAATATTCTTTCTCTCTTTTTTCTTTCCTTTCCTTTCCTTTACTTTTTTTTTTTTTTCTCCCTCTCTCTCTCTTCCTTTTTTTCCCTCTACGTAATAGGTCTTGCGATAGATTATATGGTGAGTTTTTTCCATGTTTATCAGTGGTATTCTTATCGTGCATTTTTTAAATGGTAAAATGTTGGTCAGTGTATTTCAAAATTTGTTTTCAGCATTGGCAAATCCCATTGTCGAAGAGATTTAGAGCACTCAAGCTGTGGTTTGTGATTAGAAATTACGGAATCACAGGCCTGCAGAAGCACATACGCGAGGTAAACTTTACTAAACATGCCTAATGCAATGCCAAGGACATTATCGATACGAATATTACGAGATATGATATTCTAGGGTGTGAGATTGGCACAGAAATTTGAAGCCCTTGTATTGGCAGACTCGCGCTTCGAGATCCCGGCACCCCGCTATTTGGGTATGGTGGTTTTCCGTCTACGCGGGGATAATTCGCTAACCGAGCAGTTGTTGAAAAAAATTAATTCTCGCGGACGTGTCCATTGCGTGCCGGCTTCGCTACATGGGAAATACGTCATCAGGTTCACAGTGACATCGTCAACGTAACTATCCGAATGTTATTCGTATATTTCGCAGACATTGCGAAAGGGCGCATTAATAATTGCACGTCTAAATAAATAAATTTACAGTACAACCAATGACGATTTGTTGCGAGATTGGGCAGAAATCAAGAGCACCGCATTCGAAATCTTGGGATCAGTTACTAATTCCCCATCAAGAGCAAGAGTCTCATTGGCCGGTAATGATTTTTGAAATGTCACCGGGTATTTATTTTTCATTAGACCGTAAATATTTTGATAAATATTTTGAAAGAGCTAATTGAGCAAATACGAGTGACGTCTTATTTCTAATTGTTCAGCCGATTATAATCATAATTAATAAAGGTTTATCATGATAATTATAGCATTCCTTCGAATATTATCGTTCCTCACAATTCATAGTATATAATAATAATTTTATCATAGGACATTTTATCAAAGCTATTCTCATATTCATTATAATAATTGAATTTTACAGACATGGTGTAGTGATTGGCAAATTTGAAAAATTCTTAAATATTTCATTGAAATCTATATAATTTATATGCTAATTATCAATAATGTTATATTTGTCAAACGCGTGCGTTACGTTACGTTGCTTTTTAAAATAAACGAATACTTTTCAAAAATGATGAATTATGAATATTATCTCGATTATCAAATTAAATTTAAATTTGAAAAATAGAATAATTCCCTTTGAAAATATTAGCATTCCTCATATGCGCTTTTTTCTAAAATGATTTTCAATTCAAATAATATTGTAAATTATTTTAATAAATAAATGATCAAGATGTTTATAAAAATTTTTATTATTGATTTATAATATAATTTTTTTTTTTTTTTTTTTTTTTTGAATAATACCGTATTTTTAAAGCATCGAATTTATAATTCGTTAAAATTATTATTATTTATAATTAATACCGTAATAATGAATTTTGAAATTATTCAATTGCTCATCTTAGGGAAAACATGGCTTCGGTGATTTTTGAAAATATTCTTCATTTTTACATGCATGAATTATCTTCTATTATTAAAGAAACACATCCGTATTTAAGAAGATGTGAGTAAAAAATTTTTTTACTAAATTATAAATAAAGACGTTAGTCTTTAATATGCAAGAACTTAAAATACTAAGAAATAAGTGAATGTTTATATTTCTTGATCAAGCCATTTTCATCAGTCAAATTGAATGGACAAATAAATTATTCGTCTGTAATATTAGATTTATGACACACTTATTAGGCTATTTACAAAATTTGTTTGGATAACTTTTCAAGCGCATCTAGATGTTACACGAGTCACGAAAGAGTCGTGGCCAATTAGTCTTCTAAAACTTTTCAGAAACTCGCGAGAGAAATGAAAATTTTGGCTCGAGCCTGCTGCTGGCCAACTCACCAATGTCGCCAAAAATTGTGAATGGCAGTTTTGCCGCCATATACGACGCGGCCGACGTCTTCAACGAGTGCATGAAGACATTTGGCCGGCTTCGTCTGCACGCTCGGGATAGTCCAGGTACACATTTCCACACGCGAGTACCTTCACATCTATTGATTTTAAAGGAATGCTCTTTTCATTTTTTTTTCTTATCTACGATGGTGAAAACTTTTTTCTTTTTTCTTTTTTAACTAATTTTACATTAGCGAGATGCTGTTTAGGTTAAAAGAAAGAGCACAAATAATTTTTTATGAAATGGTTTTTCCTTTTCTTTTACAAATAATTATTTCAATTCGCTATTTTTTGGGCTTGTAAATGTATTATTTTAAATTTACAATATCACACACTTGTTAGCTATAATTATTTTGCTTGCAATAATTTTATCTCGGATTATTTTCAAATATTTCAAATATAACGACTCGTATATACTTATTATGAGAAATTATATTCTAATAGAACATGTATATATATATATATATATATATATATATATAATCACTTGTAAAATAGATTGTACATATTATTCATTGAAAATCATAAATTTAATTTTTAAAATATTATGCTTACTCGATCGAAATACGAAAATTCTCTATACTTTAATATCATATTTATATAAGTAATAATCATAAGCGAATATTAAATAATTAATTAATTTATTTATATATTTTTTAATTCTTCAATTAATCTTTTTAGCATTTTTATAGATTTTTTTACTTTTGAAAGATCATAGTTATCTCCTTTAATTCTTCATTCGTAAGAAAAATGAAATTTTCTTTTTTGAAATACCAAATAAGACTAAATAATTTTTTATTAATTTGTTATATATGCAAAAAAATTTTTTAATAATGTGATCGAAACTATGTTGCAAGGATTTTGTAGTAAAAAATCTTTACATGCAAGAGCTTTTGTTTTAAATAATGTAAATATAATTGTTTCTCTCGTTTATGTGTATGTCATTGTGTATGTGTGTATTGTTATAATCGTTAGTATTTAGTATTATAAGTAATATCATATTTACTGCAATATAATTAATTACATATATATTTTTATATCTGAACTTTTTTATTTGTAAAGAAATTTTATTGATAAATGTAGCTATGCGGCGACGAATTAGGGGAATTCTCATGTCCGGGAAACAATTTTCACTCGATTCGGGAATGGATTTGGTTCAGGTTTGTTCATACATCTACTTTATTAATCTTCTTAATCTTATATTTGAAAATTTGTTAAATTTTAGTTAATGCAATGCCCATAAAGGGGCTATAAAAAAGAAAAATGAATTTTATTAATTTATTAATTGAGTAACGTTTAATATGGATAATAATAATACATCGATAAAATATAATTTTTTTTTTTTTTTTTTTTTTTTTTTTATTATTATTTTATACGATGAGATATTTACGAAAAAGTTTAGAATCATTAAATTTAAAGATCACATCACAGAGACAAAGTGATTCAACAGACCAACAGAGTATGCTATTTATTTCATACAATGATATATTAGAAAGATATTTAATAACAATGAAGCATTGGGTGAAAGTCAAACGTATCTAAAAGAAAAACAGAGAGGGCAATAATTACGAGTAGCAATAAAATCTTTGCAGGGTTATGCATCATGCGCCCGTCCATTGTCGGAGCCAGGCGCGAGTAATCTACTGCAGGTAAAAGAAGACGAAGATTTCGCCGGTAAAAGCGATTCCACACTGAGCATTGATAAATCAGAATCTACAATCGGTAAGGCGCAATGATAATCGTCTGATAACAATAGCATTTTGTTTCCTCTTTTTTTCTTTTCATTTCTTCCTTTCTTTTCCTCTCATTTATTATGTGGACGTCACGGGCTTATGCAAATTTTTAAATTCAATTTCGGAAGATTCTTGCTCGAGTCTCATAAATTACATAGATTACGAAGACAATAACGCCAGAATTAACAATGGACTTTATGCAAAAGATCGTCTCTCCATTGAGTCTGAAGATGCCTGCAGTTTTGCTGATAATTCCTCAGTAAGAGGAATTTCCAAGAGTGAAACTATCGGAGCTATTAGCAGCTGTCTGAACAACATTGCTTCCAACAACACAACTTGTTCGCTTAATGAAAATGTCTTGGACAATGCACAAGTTTGCCGAAAATGCGGTCACTATGTAAAGCAGTAATAAGCATAATTGAAAATTTTGTAATTAATTTCTTTAATAAATTCTTTGATAAATTTTTTTTCTCATTGACATTGGAAAAAAAAGCACTATACGTTTAATGTTTATTATTATAATATTAAATTGTATTTAATCATATAACTAATAATATATCTATAGAATTCTACGGTTATTTTCACAAAACGTTGTTAAGCTGTATTTTTACGCTTTAAAGGCCAACTGTGAAATTTACACAATTTTTAATTAACAGAAACAAAGATATTATATAGAAATTAATTTCGAAATTATTAATTTTTAAAAACTTTACTTGAATTAAATTATCATTGAAATAATCGTAAAACTCTAATACGGAGTCTGTGTGCAATTTTTCCCCCCTGCTAAATAGTAATCCTCTTTTTCCTTTATTTATTTTTGATAATAACATATAATGATTGTAAATTATCGTCTCAACGAGATCTTATAATATAATAAAATGTATATTGCAAGTAATATTTATTTGAAAAGTTTAAAATGATAAATTTGCTTGATGCATTTTAAATAATAATAAATTAAATAATAATAAATTCATTTTCAAGTCGACGTATTTTAGATATGCTAAGTAATTAATATAAACTACTTTAAACAGCTAAATAGATATATAAAATATCGATGTTATTAATTAACGTATTAAAATAATTATTTAGTTATATTTTATATGGAATATGAAGTAAGACAGAATAAAAATATTAGCTAAATAGATATTTGCTCACCTATGTCATCATAGTATCGTTAAATTAGTTGATTTAGAGATAATTTGTTATGAAAATTGTTTCAATAAGATCGATAAATTCCAGTAAAAGTAATGCTTATTTAAAATGAGCACAGTTATATATAAAAAGTAAAAAAAAAAAGAAAAAAAAAAGAAGACCATGTATAAGCGAATATAAAAGTTTTGTTAATATAAATTGTAATGCCGATTACGACTAAATCTAGATAATTATGTAATTAAATATTTTGTTACTAATTGTTGGATCAATATTTATAACTTTTAGAAAGTCGTTAGTTGCGCATGTGTTAGAATGTATTAGTTTGCTTTTTGAAATGTGGTTCCTGTGAAAGTACAGATATATTGACAGAGAAATTGTAAAAAAAAAAATAGAGATTTAAAATATTGATTAAAGTAGAGGTAAAATGATTTTCTTATTGTCACATTCATTTAATTTCCTTTGAATTTTATAATAATGTCTTATAATTGTTAGATAAAAAGTTATAATTTTACAATAATCTTGAAGCTGACGACTCCATAAATATTCAATTTCGTTTGATGATATGATGTGTTAGAATTGCTAAATTTTAAATTATTTTCTACATATAGAGATATACTATATAATTTTCAATCTATAACAAATATAATCAGCACTTGTCTATATTGTTTTTGTTTTTTGCCTTTTACATTATTTGCAGTAATAGTTCTTACAAACTAGTGATATATGTTGAAAGGGAGCCTAATCCATAATATTAGAGCTTTCATATTCACAATCATTGCCAAGTCTACGAAGGACGATCTTTTATTTTCTCATATAATCATCATATTATGCAATCATGAAATCGCAATGATAATTTTAATGATATTTCTTATAGAAAATTTTGATATTTTCATATTAAAATATGATGAAATTATTTGTCGAATAGTAACTTATCTAATTAAGTACTATATTATCATTGTCAATTAAATAAAAATAATGCACATGAATGTCGATATGTGTGTCTAACAGTCTCTATGATTTCTATCTTCTAAGGAAATCGTTCGGAAGTTTTTCAAATTTCTTGATAACTATGTTTACAACATGAATTTGTACAACGTAACTTTTGTTATTTATGCTCAATTATTATAATCTAATATTAGCGCCATTTAATTTCTGATTATTAATTACAATTTAACTTTATGTACTCCAGTTATTCTTATGAATTGCACAGTAGTAATTCTACAACGGTAATTTATAATGAATGATCACTGTGTCGTTATTTACTATATAATTAGTTAATCACATAATAATTAGCATTATAAATGAAAATTCAAGACTCTAACAATTTTTGCTTATCACTTGTTGGGTTAAAGAATCGTTGATATAATTCGATATACATATATTCACAATAGTAATTTCATTGCTAATTACAAAATAGCATGCGACTCCTACTGGATAATGTTTTTTTTTTTGTCAATCTTTTTTTTTCTTTTTCTTTGAAAGAAACTCATTGCTTTGAGCGCATAAAAAAACCTTTCCAATAAATAACTAACAATAACTTCCTTTATTAATTAATGATTATTATGATGCTATATAAATTGAAAAGGAGACGGAGAGTGCAATGCTAAAGTGTTGAACTTTTAAATATTTTATAGTGCTATTGGATTAATTGGCTTATTTTATAAGATTTGCACAGCTATTTGGATGTGTGATTTTCTTCGTGTGTTTCACAAACATAATTAGGTATTATGAAAAATTCTTTATCGATGATATTACGCTTACAGGAGCAATTGTGTCTATAATAATAAATTCATGTTTTTTCAGCGGTTTGACAGTCATTGCGGGTGCAACATATAATATAGTTATACATTCAATATCCAAAGTTAAAAACATGTCAATTAAACAATTGATAATTTTGTTCATAAGTATACAATATATCAATAAGCTTACTGTTGGCTGTTAATATGAAGGGATTTTGTCTGGCAACATAACGTGTAGAAAACTTTTTGCGATAGTACCTCACATGGCACGTGGATTCTTACGGTTGTGAGGTCACATAGATTGACAATTAAAAATTAAAAATCCTATTAATAATACTAATCTAAGCTGCATCGAAATATCAATATTTTATTGTATTTTGTAGCTACAAACATACAAAGCATACACGACCAGTATAACAATGTATAAATATAATTTGTTATTATTAATATGTAACATTTAATTAATATTAATATATAATAATATGTTATACATTGTCCGTTATTTAATAATATTAGTTTATTTATTTTGACAAAACATGCAGCATGTTTAATTTTCTTATAGAAACTTTTATATTAATTTTATAAAATGTTTGAAAATTATCATATTTGTGAAAGGAGTAAGTTTAATGATGATTAAATGATAATTCAAATGCTTTACTTTGAAAATTCGACTAATTATAAAATTATAGCTACAATGAGAATATGATAAACCATCTAATTTTCGAATACAAAAATATAAATAATATATTTTACATATTTTTTTTTTTTATAAATAACAATTCGTTTGAATTATTAAACGAGCGGAAAAATACAATGAATATTGATGCTAAATTATTGCTTATAAGGCTTAAGATTTATTGAAATATTTTTCCAATAAAATGAAGAGAAAAAAAGCAAAAGAATTGTCAATTATGCAGATCATACGTTTTTAAAAATTATAAAATTCAATTTAGATTTCCATACTTCGTTTTAGAAAAATTGATATTAATACTTTTTATCTTTAATCGAGTATTCTAATGTATGATATTAATGTGACTGTATTTCAGAATAAATGTAACTGTAAAAATAGAATTAATTAACAATGATTATTAAGAAAGTTGAATAATAATGAAGAGTACTCGATATGGATAATTATTATCTATCTAATAGATTGAAGTTGCTTAAACCTAACAGATTACAATTGGCAAGAAAAATTTAAAATAATAAATTTGCATTCTCTCCTCAATTGTAAACTTTTCATTCTCGAAATAAATATTGTTCCAATTATTTATTCACTTATTAAACGATTTTTTTGTTTTTTGCTTTTTTTTTTGTTTTGTTTTTGATTTTTAAACATAAATTTAATCGAAGGCACCCATATTATTATATACTTAAGTGTGATGAAGAATAATTGATAGTTGTAAAAAATGTAAATTTCTTAAACAATTATCGTTTGAGATAAGATTAACAAATTGGCTAGACGATGATCTTGTAAATTTAGGCTGCTTGTATGTTTATTCGTAGCTGATAATTATATGTAAAGGAAAGTGCAGAAGCATGAGTTAATGGTCTGAATTAAAAGGGACGTTACGGAATAATCAACATAAAGAAATTATCATGATGGCTGAGGGAAAATGTGAAAAAATTTAAAAAAAAAAAAAGTGAATAAAAAAAGTGAAATAAAAAACTAATAAAGTGACCTCACAACCGCGCGTGCTACAATGAACAAATGACGCGACACGAGCCGCATGGCCTGCCAAGGAAATATCGCGCCATTGCGACATTTATTTGGCAAAAGGCTCTCTTATAAAAGCCTTTCTGTGAGGATTAGAACATTCAGCTTGACTTTCTACAGTTATCCGCTGCTCGGCTCAAACTGAAAGTTCGAAAAGTGCCTTTTCTCGTTTGTTTCTTTGTCAGCGGGATTATAGGTGGGTTATGTTAATGTCGTCTGCCAATTGCTTGTTTACACAATTAGCATTAATTATTTTCTTTCTAAACTAAAAACTGAGACTTTAAATTATGTTTATTATGATAAGAGCTGAATGACATTAAAGAGAGACAATTTTGTAAACAAGCAATTACACTTGGAGGATATTATTTGTAATTAGTTTCATAACGTTCACTGCTACATGCTATCATGCTATCATGCGCATTACGACAACATATCTGAATATTCTTAGATACATCTATTTAATATACTATCTACAAGAAGAATACGTCACCGATAAATGGCATGTATACTTTTAATAATGTTTGAAAAATTTCTTATAAAAAACTATGAAATATAAGTATACAAAAAGTCATATCTCAACGTACAAATCTTATAATGGTGAAAGAAAATAAAATAATAATTTCAAATAAAATCAGGTGTCCAGCACCAAAGTACAACGAATAAAATATCTGCAAATCTTCAACTATATACGTCTATCTATCTATCTATCTATCTATATATTTATATGTGTGCGCGTGCGTGTGCGCGTGCGTGTGTATGTGTCGCGTGTGTCGTGTGCGCGCGCGCGCGCGCGCTTGTGCATATTTGTATATTTATATTTGCATACACACAAGCGCGCGCACCAACTCACGCACGCACTCGCATACATAATCATACGTATTTATTTATATCATACGTATTAAGAAGATAATGAATTTTTATTGTTATAAAAAAAATTGCTATTATTTAATAGATTAAGGAAAATGAGAATAATAATAGTAAGACAATTTCAATAATAATATCTTCTATCGTGAATATATTAAAAATCTAATGTTAATTAATATTATATAACGTTATATTTAAAATCTTTTATCATCTACGTCATAATATATTGTACCGTGCGTTAGTGTTTCACTACTACGTAGCTTCTATTCACGCAGATGAAGACACTTCGATTTTAGATCATGTTAATTATCATTAAACTTATTATATATTGTTTATTCTCATTTTCTTAAAATTGTCTTAATCAATTAACTTATTGTCTACGCTTTAAGGTACGATGTATCCGAGTAATAATTAAATTTTAAATCTTTATTATTCTAATGATATTTTTATGTAATAGGGAGATGTATATTTTAAGATCGGACAATCGAAGTGCTTCTTATATATATATATATATATATATATATATATATATATGTATATATATATGTATATGCTATTTTGAGGAGAAGAAAGTCACATTTGCTTGACACTTTACTCGAGTGGGCATGCCATTATTGCATGCCTCATGAAAGAAAAAAACTTTTATGACGAACTATTTATCATAAAATGTTTTACTAAATTAGTTATCATATGCTGTTTATGTGTCAATATTTGTTGCATCAACATAACGAATACTATAATTTTGGTGACATTATTTACATATACTAATAGATTTTTCTTTCTACTAAAATTATTGCTATGATTAAAATACATGTAAATAGTATGCTACAAATAAATTAGGTAAAAATAGTTAAAAATCGGAATCTCAAGTGAGTGAATAATATTTGGAAATAGCGTGTGAATGACTAAACGTAGATTCACAATCGATAAAATATGAATAATAAATATCTTAAAGCTTGGTCGTCAGGTTAATATCTTTCTCTCTCTCTCTCTCTCTCTCTCTCTCTCTCTCTCTCTCTCTCTCATTAAACAATCTTTCTAACCACATTTCATCGATTATGAATAAGGTACTTTCCTTACAAGCAATACAATTAATATCGCAAGAAACCTAAGAGGTTTGGTGCTTTATTATTATGATGCAAATACGAGTAGCTCTCAAATTGATAATACTTCGTTTAATTAGATTCTAAATATGAAAAAAAAACTTCGAATACAATCGAGAGCAGCATCGAGGCGGACTAATATCCTTTTGCAAATTATCGATTAATTTAAAAGGAAGACTTTTCTATTACAACGTACATATCACAATCATAAAGTCTCATTGAATTTTAAAAATTTTTGAGCAAATTTCCCCCTCCCCAGGGACATTGCCGACTCGATTATTCTCGCATTTGAGCAAATCGAAATATATGCTGGAATATTTTAATAATGAAAGAATTATCTACTTAGGAATTAGATTTGATAATAAAAGAGTATTTAGTGACAAAATGATATTCATCACAGCGAGCTACAAAGCAAGTTGGGAAATCTAAGGACGGAATGGAGAGTGAGGATCGTTGCTATGAGGTAAGAGATAACGGAGTTCGTAAATAGGAATGAGGAGACACGATTGCACATATCTTCCTCACAGAAGCACATGTGACCAGTGCCGGTACTTTCCATCATGCACACGTGGTCCACCATGAATAAGTTTATCTGCAGTTGCGACGTGCACGTTCTCCGGACGCTCTCATAGGCTGTGAAAATTTATAAACGGCTATTATGAATTTCACACTCGTATTTTTATTATCATCGGCATTAGCTGCCTGTCATTTATTACTAAAACACCATTTGTGCGTTTAACTTGACGGAATATTTTTATGAGTGTTAAGCTACATAACCAGTACCTTAAAATTAACATAACAAGATAAGCTCGATTTTTTTCTTTTAAGAATATTAATATTTTTCATCTACGACAACAGCTATTGCTTTAACGTTAGTATTAGTATTGTGTAAGACAACTGCTTGTTCTTAAAGATTTTTTTCTTTTTTAAATGCGACCTTATATCTACTAAATAATTAACTTTTATCTGATAAGAATAATAATCGTCGGCATACAAGAATGGTATTTTATTGGTGCAACAGCTATAATAAACAACTCAGATATGCATTTTAGATTATACATATATATATATGTGTGTATATATATATATATATATATATATATATATATATATTATAATCTATACGTTAATATTGATTAAACGTTTTATTTGATTGAATATAGAAATTTCTACCTGCTATTGCTTTGATTTATATTTGTTGTTGTTGTTGTTGTTGTTGTTGTTGTTGTTATTATTATTATTATTATTATATTCAGGATCTACGTTGAACTTACGTGATTTCGCATTTCGCACCATTTTTACGCAACATCCGTTGCAAGTCATCAGTGGTGGTTGATCCCTCGGCAGCGCCGTATAATTAAATGGATCTTTACATCGTAAATCTGTCCAGGAATCGCACTCATAGCAATAAACAGACCTCGCTGGCAAAATTATTTAAATATTTTACTATATATCGTTATAATTCTTAGAATATAGTTGGGCTTTAAAATGATTATGATTTAAAAATATTATGCCTACAAATTCTAATATATGTGAATTACAAGCTCTAAGTGTCTATGTAGAAAATTTTGCATATCTATTATTCCATGCAATGTAATCTATCTAATAAATATTTATTAATATTTAATCTATCTAATAAAAGAAAATACGTTCAATCTTTTTAATAAAGTAGATAAAGAAAATGAGGTGGGAGTGATTGATAGATATTTTTTAATTAATTGTTCGTATCTTGATATTGAAGAGTAGAGAATAATAAGATGGCGGAGAATTATTAATATCATAGGCACACATGTTCGAAATCTTAGCCGCACACATTGGATAATAATAATTTTTAAAAAATACAATGTGAATGCAAAATTTATTATTCAGTAAATAGCGAATAAATTTTTATAGCCCACATTGCCGATAGTTTATAATGTGATTATTTCTACTCACTTTGACACTCGGCATAGCAGGAATTGATTATTGTAGCGAACGCCATTATCACTAGAAAAAAATATCGTTACTTTTGCCGATAATAAATATTGTGAAATTTACAATATGCGATTGTCTCAATGATTACGACTGGTAAATTAAATGAGATTTTTTAATTTTTTATATTTACAAACCAACCATATTTTAAGAGCTTATAATATTATTAATTAACGTTACAGCAGCGATTTAATATGGTATGAAATACTAGAAACAGAACTAATGAGACGAACTTGATTACTACTCGATATTTCTATTTTATTTGATAATTCGTACAAATGTTTCTACGGATGATTCTCAATCAATTATTACGAGACCTAAAAATTAATTTGAAATTCAATAATAACGTATACAATTTTCTTCAAATAGTAAATCTCCAACAACAATAATGGTATTAAAATCATTACAATTTATTGGAATATCAGAGGTATATGCATTTTTTATACATAGATTATGGCAAAGTAAATTAGTCACTACTCACCCACAATTGCATAATGCGATGCCATTATTATCAAATGTTTACCGCTCGAGTGGAATCTCACCTTTGCATGACGATCATACTGATAAATGTGCGACGATACTTTGTAACATTTCCGATCTACTTAATAAAAAGAATGTTTTTAATCGAATTATTTACGTTCATATCATTCAAAACACTCGCTAAATAATTTATTTATTTGCATTATAATTATGATTTAGCTGAAATTCGATTAATTTTATAATTTATTCTTTATACATCTTTATACATCTTTCATACTTGCCTAAATTAATTACTAAGAATTTTCATACTTTATATGTATATATATATATATATATATATATATATAAGCGATAAATAATTAGAAAATAGAATAATATGCTTAATGGATTATTATAGATTAGATAATCTAAAACTAAAGCATTAGATTAAAATTGCAATGTACGCATTCACGTAAGTACAAAAATAAAAGGGGATTCTATTTTTTTTTTTTTTTTTTTTTTGACAAAACGGTTATGCATCGATCACAAGCGAATAAAGGATTAATGTTTCAATAAGTAATAGATTGAAGAAGAAGAAGATTTTTAATGATTATCTCAAGAAATTATTAGAGTTATTAGCGATAATAAAAAAATCTGTTGTTTTCATTGAATGTATCGATTAATCAATTTCTCAATTTTAAAAATATCTTTCAGTATCGAGCTTTTTGATCTTCTATAATTTTTGGTTCTTTAATTTTACTTATTATATAAATAATTGGAATTTCTTGTTTACGAAGAATACAAACGATTATTTTGCTTTAAGAAAAAAAAAAAAAAAAAAAAAATTATTTTTTTTTAAAAAAAAAAAAAAAAAAAAAAAAATACAAAATAAACTTACCAAGTCATGCAATCGGTTCATAATTGTTGCAAGACCGAAAATATAAATATTTTAATGCCTTTGTATATATAATAAAATAATTTAAATCAATTTAAATGACATTTTCTTAAATTATATTTTAACATAGTGTAATGAATGTTATAGAATATTAGTTATTTAAATTATTTAAGCTAATATTCCATCTGTTTATATATTATACGTATATAATTAATTAATAATAAGTACACATATAATTTATGTAGACTTGTATCTTTTATATTATTTTATCAAATTTTATATACGTATATATTATTCCACTTAATATAGTTATATTTAATATTCCTTTCGAACTGACAAATTTATATATTTATAAGTTAAATACAAATTATAAAATACCGTATGAGTTGAGCGTGTAAATTTTAAAGTTGAATAAAAATAATAAATTTTATTTTTAAATTTGCAATTTTTAATGAAGCTGCATTGGATGTATAATGAATGGAGTTAAATAACATTAAAAGCATATAAAAATCGAGTTACATTCAATACTTAATAAAAGGTGTAAATAAAATGAAATTTTTATTTTACATTTGAAAAAAAATAAAAAATAATGAATACAACTATAACTGTTCATCCCAAAATTAATGTCTTATTTAAATTCTTAATTGTAATAGCTAGACGATGAAAATTATTCGCGAGAGTTGCCAAATAATCAAACATTGTGTCTAGTTCAGCAATCGAGCCTTCAACTAATATTTAAAATCAAGCTATGTGTATGTGCCCTCCCGCCCTCGAATAATAAGATCCCGATGCTAATAGAATCTGGATACTAATCGAGTATCAGTTGCCTAGATCCCCGTGATTGAGAATGAAGCTTATTCTACTTAAGCTAAATAATAAAGATCGATTTGAGTCTCACATGACGATTAGGATGGGCCATTTTATTAAGCGGCCCGAAGCCTTCCGAGTGAGTCGCCCGACCGTATGACTTCGTCACCCTCCGAATGCTTCCTCACAGGTTCTATTATCATAGGCGAGAAGTAAAGTCGATTAACGTTAACTGTCAATGACGGTTGAACGGTGTGGGATGTTTGTCGGTGGTCGGGGACGGTGGTAAAGATAGGGCTTGTTAACGGCTAATATCGTTAATGCGAATACGTACGATAATCGCGGAAGCGGCCATTCGGCGGGAGCCGAGCGAGCCTCCAGACCTCGTCGTGGCCTACTACGAGGTAACCTCCCGACAGCGAGTCCACCTGGCCGCCGACAGTCCCGATGATCTCTGGCTGCTAAAGCGGCCACTGGCGTACTGCCGCCGCCCTCGAGATCAATATAAGGGTTCACTGCAGCGTCGCGGCGCCTCTTGGCCATTGTGCCAACAGCCAGCGTGGCGCGCATGACGGGAGCCGAGCACGTGGCCGACATGCGCCCTGCCCCGATGCACCAAATCGCATCCTGCATGCGATGTCCTGGGTGGCGAGAGTCGGCCTGGCCCCGATAATTCCTGGCGCTTGTCTTCTTTGCGCACCATCATCATCATCCATCCTCTTTATTTCTACGCCTCATGCAGCTTACGAGTACTCGTTGGCTTACATTTTCCCTTAGGGAGGCTGGGACGATTATACTAATTTCGTCACATTCATTCGCGCATTGCCTCTCACTTTTGACACATTTAATGAGGCGAGTAATGTGCAAGTAAAAGGAATGCATCCTCCCGATGACAATATAATGCACTGATTGGCCAATGACGTAAGCGCTCATCTTGACGAGCAATCGATTATCATAAAAATCGTTTTGAAATATTTCTTAAGTAAAGCGCAGGCAAATATTAATCGAACGTCATAATATTATTGGGATTGTTATTTCGATCGGACATTCTACGAGCATTCGTTCGAAAGTATGGAGCATAAATTAAAAATTTTGATTCGAATTTTTGAATTATTCACATGCTATGGCTGTCTTCATTTTGAAGTTCGTGCCAGTTTTAAACAATTCTTAGTCACTTTTATCGTGATGATAATAATAAGTCTTTCATATACTTTTTCCCTTCTTTTTCTTTTTCCTTTTATTATTCTATTTTTTTTTTTTTTTTAATTTTTTTATTATTATTAACAGAGTCGAATTAATCTCTTTATTTTCACTTACTATTCAATTAACAATTAGTATTGTGAAACGATATCATTTACTTAGCTCTAAATGTATGTAAATGCTTATGCTTCTTCGGGAGAAATAAGCATTTTATTAAATAAATTTTCAATGCAATTACGTAAACAGAAACGAAAAAATTATAATAAATTTAGAATTATTAAAGAATTATTTTAATAAATAATATAAAGTAAGATGGATAAAACGAATTAGATATCTTATAATACATTAACAAATTGATAATTTGCTTATAAATGCATTAATGACATTTAATTTTGATACTTATTCGTAATATTACACCAATGTTTGTCGAATTAAGATATTGACGCTAAAAAATATCTTATTTATTCTATATATTTCCATAATTAATATCATTATTCTAATAATAGAAATAATTTTACTTGACCATTTGGCATCTGCATTACCGATATTTATTAAGCAACTATTCTAAAACAATTTTCTACGCGTATTTTATTTATAATGAGAATTATATTTATTTATACGTAATAAATATTTTTAACAACAATTTTTACAACTCTAACGATGTTAATAATTACTTTTTAAAAATAATTTATACTCGAAGTATGCAATAGTAAAAATATACATGTGCAATAGAATTTTAATGTTTCTATTTGTAATAATATGTATATTTGTAATAATAATAATAATAACAATAATAACAATAATAATAATAATAATAATAATAATAATAATAATAATTAATTAATTAATTAATTAATTATGACTTAATTAATATACTTTCGAATGGTTTATTATGTATTGATCCAAACTATATAATTTTCCCTCAAATGCCTAACATTAAAATAATAAATAGTAAAAAATAATGTAAAAATGTAGAACATTAAAGATAAAAATTAATTTTGTTTATTCATTTGCTAATTAACGACGCTGGAATATTCAACTACATTGTATTAATAATTGCATATTTATTATGTACTCTTAACTAATGTAAATTAATTATAATTACGAATACCATGCTTTATAAATTTTTTCTTTTCTTTTTTTTTTTCTTTCTTTTTTTTTTTTTTTGATAATATAAGAAATAACGGTATCATAAATTATATCGACGAAAATAATAACGCTTAAGATAATCGCTATTATTGATGTTTATTTATGAAAATTAAATATAAACATTAACGTGATCTTACAAATAATAGTGATTTATCTTATTATCAGTTAGAGCATTTGTCAGTAAATCTGGCAAAATATGCTTTGATTTAATTTTTGTAACAATAGTTAGTTGAGGATTAGAATGTGAAAATAATAACGAAAAATAGAAAAAAGCATTCACAACAGGATCATATACACTTATTAAAAGGCTTCTCTTTCTATTAATTGTTGTGCCGAAATAGAGTATTGTTATGGTGACAATTATTGCAATGAGAATTCACGACGCGCTTATTAATTTTTAATTCGTTTGTGACTTTAATGACATTCGGATATATTAATTGTTGTACTATGTACTTATTGAAATTTAATCGAACAGTCTTTTCGGATTGGTACCTTAGATGCTCGGTGATATTGTTGCTCCCAGACAGCATTTACACTAAACCCGAAACGTAAGTAAAGTTCGCAACTATAATATTAGAGTGTATATACATTTCTTACAATTTGAAAGTAAATTCATTTTTTAAATGCTGAGAAAATATGCTAGAATGATTTGCACGATAATTAATTATATTTTATTCTCAATATAGATATTGTAATAGTGAAGAGTTTATTACAAATTTCCCAAAATATTTGCTACAAATATTCCAGTTCTACCGAGTAATTTGCTGCGTCAGTGAATTTAACATCGATTATCTTTTCAGAAACCATAAGGTCTACTAATTATTTATATTTTTAAAGCATTGTTACCATTTGAACGTTCTTGCATAAATAATATTTTATAAGAAATAAAGCCAGAAAAGTTATTCATACATTTGGGATAATATGTGTTGTTTATGATCACTGATGAATAAAATTAACGTAAATCTAACTTTTCAATACAATTTATCAATATTATATTGTATTATTTATGAAGAGAATAAATTTACATGGAGTCATTATTTTAAAAAAGATTTTTATATAATTTTATATTAATCAACAATTATTAATAAAAATTTATGCCAATGGCATAATAAATAATCCTTCATAGTCATCTTATTGCAGAAATGGCACATTATTGGCTAGTACTCATTAATATCTGTTTATTATTGGTAATAATTAATATTCCGTTTAATTCTGCTCAATCTTACGAAGTTAGTAGGAAAACAGTTTATTCTAATAGTGGCACGCGTGGTAATTAATATATTATATTATAAACTTAAAACATAAATGAAAATGAAGAGAATTATAGCTGATACTGATTTGTAGGAACCGTAATTTGTAATTATTTCCCGGAAAATGAAATTTTACCAACTTCAACTAGTATTCTAGGCAGTCTATATCGTAAGTTATATATATGATTTCATAAAATTTATTTGTTTTATTGTATATCATTAAAATTTCTAAAAAGCTCTTAGGAGATTTATACGACGTAATACGCGGAAGTCTTTCTTTCGGACTAGAAAAGGCCTAAGAGGTAAATACAAATCTATGTACATACAATATAATATATATATATATATATATATATATATATATATATATATATATATAAAAAAAAATATTTTTCCCTGATGTTTTTGGTTACACTTACCATTGAAACCAATTGTATATATCTGAAACTATAAAAATTTTTTTAGATTAAAGGCAATACAGACAATAAAAGGCCTTGAATGTGTTGATAAAATTTTTAATGTAATCTAAATAGATCCCGTTAGATTAATACGTTTCAACATTTTAATTAGGATCACCTACTAAACATAACTATCTAGTAATATATAATATAATTATTTAAAACTATATTTATTTAAATTTATTACAGAATATTTCCAAATTATACACTTTTAAAAACTTGCTTCTCGAGCATATTTTTCTAAAAACTTTTATTTTTAATTTGAATTAAAAGTAGAAAACAACTTTTAGGTAAAACAAGAAAGTACAAACGGGGTCGTGGGAAAAATAAACTTCGATCAATATATAAATCACCTTTCTGGAGAATCACCTTGCCGAAGATTCCTACTATACCACTAGTTGATATTCCTGCTTTATTACCCTCATTTTCTTACCTTCCAAATAATTCAAGAGCACGTCAGTCTTCTTCTACCAGTATGTCTAAATCAAACACTTTTCAGGGTTTTAATTCTATCAGAAATAGTAATAAACACGTGTCATGGAGTTACAATGATGGGAAAACTTCTATCAGGATCAATTACAGTCCAGTAAATACATTTATTTCGAGAAAGAAGGCGTCGAGCAAAAAGATGAATTCGGCAGTTGTTGGTCGTAAAAAGAACCGTTTAGCAGGATAAAAGCCGCATTAATTAAAAATATTGGATAATGTTCATATATTATTATACAATTAAAGATTGGTATTTTATAAAAAAAAAAACAAAAAAAAAAACATCATTGTATTATTTGAATAGATTCATAATTACTTCTATTATAATGCTTAAAAAAACAAACAAACAGAAACGTGTCGATGATTTAATATTTTAGTATTAAGTACCTATATATTGCTTGAATATTATAATATTAACATTCGATCAATTCATTTATACGCTTTTTAAAACTATCGATCACTTGAATGCCATTCGATTCTGATCCAATAAAAATAATGTAAAAAATGTTAATTAATTATATCATCGCTTTCCGTAGAGTTTATAACTCGCATTCGTAATAAATTTCGTAGGGAATTGTGATTATCGTAATCACTATACATTCAGTTTAATACTAACATTGAATATTCTTATATTAATAACATTAACTATTATTACTATTAATATTTATTAAAGTCAAGAGAATTATGCAATTACTCATTTAAATAATATCATTAATCATAAATAATTGGATCGATAAAAATTTCATATCAAAATTCATTTGATTATCATACTCTCAATTGATTGAATTATAAAGTTAGCGATTGAAAATTAATAGAAAAATAAAGAGAATGATAATATATATCAACGCGAAGTAATTAATTACGTACTACCGCAATTACGATATAATCGCAAAGCGATGTAATTATATATTGATTATTTCATGAAAAAAAAAGTACAAGATTGTTTATATGTGATACACCTTATTTAAAATTGTAAGGTCGATACTTAGGAGGATTATTCGTAGGTAGATTCAAGTACATGTACCTCGAAGTACATGAAATATCTATGATATAATCAATGCTCTATAAATTCCAAAGAAAAATTTTTTGTTATACAGTTTTATAAATAGAAATTATATAAGAATAGCATTACGCATAGACGGTTTAAAAGCAATAGTCATACTTTTGCATAACTACATTAGATTTTCTTATATAATTTTATTATCTAATGACATGATTTACCGTCTTTTTATTCATTTTGAATAAAATAAATATAATGACATAAAATTTTCTTCATTCGCTAGTTTATTACTTAATGATATTACTGATAACAATAAAAAAAATTTATTATATTCAAGTCGCATTGCCGGAAAATCATACTAGATAAAAAAAAAAAAAAAAAAAAAAAAAAAAAAAAACTAAAAAACTCTGTATTGTATTGTTTATTGAACACTTTTACCGTCTTATAATCTACATGGACATTTTTGTTAAATTAATTTCATGAACGTCACTATAATACATTATTTAGTCATTAATATCTAATATGAAGATAATCTATAAAAATAGTGTTTTAGGCTTGAAACATTAACATAAAGTAATGTAAATTTAGCCCATGTGTTATCGCATAGAAATAATTTATTGCTTATTGCTTATATGAAAGATCATTAAATTTAACAAAGATGGATATTGAATTATTCATTAACAATAAAATGTTATTCGTATTTTCGTACATTAGCATATAAAAAGTAATTCAGTGAGATAGATTTTTCCAGTAGCTGATGACATATGGAAAATAATATTATTTCACACATAATACTACAATATGGATATAAATTAATTAGCATTTGAAATAAAATTCCATTTATCCTTCTTAGGATAAAATTATAATTAGAATTTTATTGTATCATAAGTTTGTATCACAAACAGTTTTAACGATATTTTTTAATATAAATTATAATTGATTAACTTTAACTTGCTCTTTTTTTAATTACGCAAAGTCATTTAATTTTGAATGTTGTTAATATACTTCGTCTAATAAGAATTCAAATGAATTTTAAAGGCAGATTTTATGAGGAGTGAAATAAGAATAAATAGTAATATAAGGAAAATGCAAAATAAGTATCAATGCAACGATAAGAATATTTATTAAAGGTTAAAGGTTTTGTAGATTATAAGATATGAAATTTAAAAAACAAAAATTAAAATTTAACGATGTATTGAGAGTTAATGATATTTTATTCTTTCCTATATGGTGCATCGATTGTAAGTCACTGAATATTATTGACAAATATTTGATAATAATTTTATCAATGAACCTTATTGCTAATATTATAAGTCGTTTTATTATCTACACACATTCCACTAAGTATTCACGAATCATTTAATTTTACTCTTGAAAAATGTCTTTTGTGTTTTATTTATATATTCTAGAGGCGGTGGTGGTGGTGGTGGTGGTGGTGGTGGTGGTGTGGGAGTGGGGGAGAGGGCGTAGTGGAGATTCAACTATTATTATAATATGCTCAAATTACTTAATAAGGCCCTAAGCTTTTATCCATCCATTAATAATAAGCAAGCAATTTTTGCAATAATCTGATTTCTTTTAAAGATTTATTATTAAAGATTATTTAAAGATTATTTCTTTACGCTGAATTCGACGTAGCATAAAATACCTTCTTAAACAATAAATCACAATAATCTATATCTATAAATTAAATAATGTTTACCTAATTTATCATTTACAATTTACATTGTTATCCAGTAAGTTAAAAATGACGGTGTGCATAATTTTAGCAGAAGCTCAATGTAAATCGATGATTTTACTACACAACGTCGGCAATCTCGTTCATCTATTCACTTCATCTGATAATTAAGAATCTGTTATTGAATGGGTCACGTGTGGCGAATCGTAAGGGCATAGTATGTAAATTAATGTACGAATAGTTTTTGAATACCAGTCGACAGGCTCATACAACCTATCTGTAGCGAGCGCTTGCAATTGAAAAAAAAAAAAAAAAACAGTGAGTGACCAGCGACTTTATAGTGGAGCATCGGCATTATAGCTTAAATTTCAGTTGACCATCTCAATTTTAACTCCGGGACCGTTTGGGAGTTCTGGATTCCATACTGTTGAGAATAATCGAGCTCTTGGTTGCTCATTGCTACCGTCAGTTTACTATACGTCGTCCGCCGAATACTACGTTCTCTCCGTTCTGTACTGAATCGAGAATAGAGTTCATTGAGGACTGTGAGCGTACGCAAACGCCGTGCACATTGGGATCCAAATTTGCATGTTCTAAGACGGTGATTATTATTCTTTTCAATCCTATTTCGAGCGATTAATTCTTTCACTGGCACGATTTTTAATTTTTTCTTTCAAATCGACGGCACGTTATTGCGAATGCTCATCGAATCACTTTGTCCACTGTCATATTATCATCATCATCATCATCATCATCATAATCATTATTATTATTATTATTATTATTATTATTATTATTATTATATTCTGTAATATGATAGGAATTAATAAGAAAATTAAAGTGAATTCGGTTGGTGATTAAGAGTTTGTTGAACGTTTGTTCAATTATCGAGGTAAATGGTATTGACAATGGAATTTTTGCACATTAATTTGAGGTTAGAATGATCTGTATGCATTCATAATATATTTCATTTATTGTTTGCGATTTTGGAGTTGATATCATGTTTATTCAAAGCTTTAAAATCACGATTTTGGAATATATTTAGTCAATAAATATTGAGATATTTTAACAATACATCACATTAATTATATAATTAATTCATATTATTTTCTTGTTCTTTATATGATTAATTAAACTATATGAAAAATTAAAATTAAAACAATCGATCTTAAGCCATTGATTATTTTCATTAATTAATTTTAATGAATCATCCTCAACTTTCATTTGCGTATTTAATTATTTGATTTGCCATATTTATTGCAAGGTTTCCATTGTAAATAACGAATTTTATTTATATCGATATTAAATAAATAATCTAATCTAATAATTGATTAAGAAATGAAATTTGTGTTATTAAAGTAGATATTAAGTGATGGAAGAGTTATTAATGAAACAATCGATTGTAAATCATTTAAGATATAAATAATAAAATATATAATATTATGAAGTTTAAAATAATATATATATATATATATATATATATATATATATATATATATATATATATATATTACCATACAACATTTTTTTTTTTAAATAAATAATTATTTCATACTTTCTATTATTTGCTATAATTAAAATTAAATTGCACTACATCAGAATTTCATTAACATTCATACGTAATATATTAATGAACCAAATATTTATTAAGATTATAAAAATCATAGAATTCATATTGGAGATCTCAATATGTTGGATTCTGTTCTTCCAACTAAATATTTCTTTATAAATAGACTGAAATAGTACAAGTTCCAGAAATCTGAAATTTTATTAAATATTCTCTCATTTGTAAACATATATATTTATATTATTCGACGAAGGTGATATAGACAACTTTATCCATTATAAACTTATATCTAAATAATAAAATTATAATAGATAATTTTATTTATATATTCGCATTTCTATCTAAAAATCATCACTGATTAATCCCTATCTTTTTTTTCTTTTTAGCTTTTTTTTGAAAACGATAAAATTAAATAAACGCTTTATATATCTAAGAGTTTCACAATTAATTGTTTATTTAAAATATGCTTTCTTCGAATACTAAAAAGTAATTCATTATATAAATTTGAATGAAAACTAGTAAAAATTTGTATTTAAATTTTTTCAAATAATGTTTACGCATTAATCTTTTACTCTCTTTTTTCTCTTTTGCAATATACATAGATATTTTCCAAAATCTATATACGTCATTCACAACAAAAAATCTCATTGTTTATCGGTCGCATCGTGTTTAATAATGTATAATAGTGCAAAAACAAATGAAATAAAAATAAAACAATATAAATTGAAATTCGCTATACTACACTATATATATATATATATATATATATATATATATATATATATATATGTTTAATGATTATAAAAAAACGATTTATTACATTATTCATAGAATGACAAAATATTTATTAACTTTATGTTTATATGAAAATTGTGATTTTATTTAATAAAAAAAACTATATGCCTAACATTAGAACATGAAATAACTATATTAAGCTAATGTACGAAGAACAAATAGAATGAAATTTACTTGTTCTATAAAAATAGTTTTTAAGATTATTTTAGTCTTCTATAAAATATTCTTTCATTGAAAATATTAACAATATTTTTTCGACGTGTCTTATTCAATTTACGATGTACCTTTATTCAATACAATGGTATTAACATTTTTGAAAGTCATGTATTTACACATTTTTAATTAAAGTCCAACAATTATTCATCAGACATTAATTTCCAAGTTAATATTTATTGATTACGACAGTGAATTTCTATTATCGAGAACTTAAATGCAATTTTTTTGCAATTCTTCTGCATATGATAATTATAAGTCTGTCGAAATAAAAATTTCTATTTCTTCGAAACAGTTTATTAGTGTGATGTGTGACTATGATACTAGTGAATTACCGATATTTTGAAATTATTTTAGTACTATTTATGAAATAATACGATTTTGTAATTATTTCACTTATAAATCGTTCTATTAAAAAAAAAAAAAAAAAAAACCATAATAATGTAAAAAATACTGAAGAACTGTTTTTCTTATAGCTAAGTATCTTACTTAATTTCACATTATAAATTCGATAATATCAATAATAGATATTCAAACACAGATAAAAATAATAGACGTCGTTAATAAATTTATTTCAGCCAATAGCATGAAATATTAAGATAGAAAAATGTTTTAATTAGCATTATAAAATTATGTTTATTATATTTTGATAGATTTCAAATTTTAAAACATTTTTTTTTTATTGTATCCGAATCGATAAATTTAATTTATTTAAACAAATATTTAATTCTTGTAAAAAATTTTTTTTAAATTAATATTTCGAATTACTTTGAATTTTTAACATGGTAATGACGCATTTCTGAATATTTAAGTTTCAAACAAATAATGTATTTGATATTATTGCAAGCAATGAGAGATTTTTATAATTATTACCACTAGTTTAATAATAACATATATTAGTATTCAATAAATTAATAGAAACATTTAATAGACGACTTTTAATTTTTAATGTCTTTTCAAATTACTGAAATTTTCTTTGCATACGAATATTAGGATCGTACAAATATTTAGTATTTTCTATAATATATTTCAGTTACATTTATGAATTTATACAAAAAATTTAGAAGAAAATTATTTATTAAATTCATTTTAATATTATTATATTCATTAATAATGCGATAATTATAATAAATATAAAATTATTTTTAAAGAATATCATACAAAAAATATATAAAAATCATGACGTCATTATTATTAACGTATGTATTTAATTATAAATACATATAATTGTTAGTTTGTGTATTGTGTGCTAAAGTTTAAAAATCTGTCATTAAGAATAACAATTTTATATTAAATCACATAATGAAAAAAAAAAAGAATAGTTTATTTAATTAATAATTATAAACTCATTAAAAAGTAAAATTCTACATTTTGATATATTTCTTCTACTACTCTGTTGTGTAAATTTCAAAATTTTAAACGTCATAGAATTTTGTGTATGACTGTAACTTATAGATTATTGATATTATTAGGGATATTTTATAGATTGAACGTTTCGAAATTTATTTAAGACGATTAATATTGAAAATTTTTAAAAAATTGAATTAAAATTGTATCAATTTTTATATAATTAATTTATTAATGGTTACTCCTGTATTTCGATTAACATGTTATTAAATCTATTATTTTTCATACTGGATTTTTGATATTTTGTTTCTATTTGTTACGTTTGCAATCTATATTAATATTTTTAATGAAGTCTTTAATAATGTTTTCTGCCTAATTTATATGAAATTATCGATTAATATGATTTCTATGTAAATTTTAAAATATTTTAGTTAATTAAAAATTTGAATTGTTCAATAATTGATATGAAAATGTTTACAAAAAAATAATTGACATTTAATTTCTTGACTAAATTTTTGCAAATATATGATTTAAGTACGCAGATAATTCTCATGAAAAAAAAAAAAATAAATAAAATTTTATTATAAAAGTGTCTTCCTATATAATGACGATTCGTTCGCAAGTTGCAGAACACGATTTTATAATAGTATTTCTCGTTTATGCGAGAAAATAAATTAATAAATTCCATTTAACTATTACAAATGTATTAATATTATAGACAATAAAAATTTTAGAAAAGTATGGCTGCAATAATTCCACGAGTCCAACGTATGGGTATGAAAATCAAAGCTGTTAATGCACAATTTATAAAGCTGAACACAAAATATTTTTCGCAAACGATCCAAACAAACATCATTGAAGGAACAAATGGTGAAAAAATTATTACATCACCTCATGGACCAGTTACGTATCCGGAGATGCCGATAAATCATTATATTTGGGCAGATATACAGAACTATTCTAATATGGTTGCATTGGTATGTAATTTTTTTATTTTTTTTTAAACAATATTAATGACTTTATTAGGCTTATCATTAAGCGGGAATTATAATTTGTATAATGTATATTATTGCATGAAAAGGAGGTGAATTTAGGAGAGAAAGGGTTATAGTTTAATTAGCGATTTTTCTTTTATCGTACTGAATTATCGATATGTTTAATTATTCTAGTAGTTAGTTAGCTTATTATAATTAAAGTGTGGAATCAGCCATCTCCATACTACATCATCTGCATGCAAATAATAATATTTAATAATTAAAAAATATTTTGAAATTACTTTGAAAATGATTTTGATCCACAATTTAGGAATATATATGATTGTTCTCGGCAATAAATTCGTTTTATTTTAAGGCAATCGATATGATTTTATATCTTGTTTCTATTAATTATATTGATATTTTGTGCCAATATTTACATAATTCGTTTTTTTTTTTAATAGTAATTTATTACTTACTCATGCTATTATTTAATTTACTCTATTCTGCTGAAATTAATTTATAATATTTTTTTGCTATTATTTGATTACTTTTTTCATACTTGAGTTCTTTTATGCTTGTATTTATTCAACAGGAGTGCGGCATAACAGGGAAAAAGTATACTTATAGTCAGGTGAGAGATTACTCAAATTATGTCGCACGAAGTTTGTTAAACATGGGATTCAAACGAGGTGATGTTATTGCTATTGTATTGCCTAATTTACCAGATAGTCCAATTGCTCTATTAGGATGTATGGAAGCTGGTATTATAGCGACCACTGTTAATCCTATTTACACGGCAGGTAATCGTTTTATTATTATTATTATTATTTTTTTTTATCATTTGCACGTGAATTTATTTATTTTTCATAAGCAATTAAAAAAAAAAAATAAAAAAAAAAAAATAAAAAAAAAATACCACTCCAATACATGTAAAATATTTGATTAACAAACGTTTAATTAAACTTACGATTTTCAAGATACATATATTATATATTAGAAATTCTTTCGGTTCACGAATAAAATCAATAAATTAAGGAAAATTAAGAAAAATTATGTTAACAATGCTAGCGTTCCCTTTATCAAGCTGAGAAGAAACTTTATTTATTTTATAAGCATATCATTTGTTTTATTGTTTTTATTTGAAAAATTTCTGTATTTATAGATGAAATCGCAAAGCAGTTAATTTCGTCTGAAACGAAAGCCGTTATCACATCTCAAACGATTTTAACGAATGTAAGAGCCGCAGTAAATGCGACAAATCCAAATTTGAAAATAATCGTTATCAATGACTACGCAAAATCAGTAACAGACGGTGTGATACCATTTGAAGTACGTAATTAGCTGAAATTATTTTAATTTAATAAATTGCTCTTTTATCGATAAAAGCAAAGCATAATATTTATAAAATTATATACTTTATTCGTTTACTTTTAACGTATAAAATTATATGGAATATAGAGCAAAGAGAAAAGTACTATTTACAAAATTCCTAATTACAATCATAATAGTCTCGCTGATTTTTAATTGAATTCTCAAATGAATTTATAGAATTTGTCTTGAAATCTTCAAATACTTTATGTATATATGTATATGTATATCTATGCTCAGAATCTCATAACAAAAGGGAAGTCACTTCCTGGGGTCTCAACAGGCCAATGGTCACCGGACGATGTCGCAATTTTGCCATATTCTAGTGGTACAACGGGACTTCCGAAGGGAGTCATGTTGACGCATAGGAACCTAGTGGCTAACGTGCAAATGTTAAAAAATTCCATTAGCAATGAAAGGTGTTTGCCTGCTGATGGTAATATTTTGCAGTTTTTATAATAATTTTATTATGACAGAAGCTATACAGTACGTAAATCATATGCTTCGTAATACTTTTGATTTTAGCCATGTAATGTTTTACAGAAAAACAGTACCGTATGTGTAACGTTTTGCAAATACTTTTCCATTGTATGTAAATTAAGAAATACTATAATTGCATCGTTAGTGACGTTGACTCATATTAATTAAAAAAATATAGTTGGTACTTTTATATGAATATACGATTTTGTGATCTATTATTTTTACTTCTATATATATATATATATATTTTTTTTATTAATTTATTTTAAATATATCGATTATATTATATTTTGATAATTTCTATCTAATAATTGAAACTTTCATTAAAAATTTTATCGATTGAAATAGCCATCGCTGGGCATTAAATTCAAATCGTATTTATCAATTATTTAAAATAAAATCATACCAAGTTGATGAACAATTATTCATTAACGAAAAATATTTTCAAATTTAAATTTAAATTATATATTAGGATTGGAAAGTAGTAATTTTAGTGCACAATTGCACGAAATAATCATATTACTTACACGTTTCGATAGGAAATTATTGAAATTACATAATAAGAAAATTAGATGATTATATGCCACAAATGTATGTACACGAACGAATGATATTAATTATTTCAAATTTCTGCATTGAAAGTTTTAAGTTTTAAAATTGAAGGAATTTTAATCGTTGACAGTTAATTACCAAAATGAAAATAAGAAAATAATGATATAAATGACGTAGGGAGTTAAATATTGCAAAAAGATCAAAATATGAAAAAGTATTTAACCGTACACAATCACATGATTATTTTTCTTTATTTTAAATGTTAAATTGCTTACCGAAAATGAATTTGTTTTATTATTTGGTGCTACTTTAATACTTAAGAATTCCTAATACTGTTTGTAAGAATTAAACAATAAACTCTAATCTTTATTAACTAACTAATTTTAATTATAATTAAGCTTATGTATCATTAGAAAATAAATTTTTGGATTTATAAGTTCGATTTACATTTTCTCACCGTAATGAACAAATTTAGATAAAATACTCTGAATGTTTGTTTTTTAATTTTTTTTTTCTTTTTTTTTTTCTATTGCAATTTGTAAATTTAAAAATTTGTTTGCAAAATAATTATTGCAAATAAAAATTCTTAGTATTACAGCAATTAATTAATGATTTCGTTATTATTTCTATCTGTTTGACTAATCGAAACGCAGAGTCAAGCATGTTATTAGGAAAAAAAAATAGTGCGTACATTAAAAATATTTTTCATTACAAGTTTTATTATATTATGTAATTTAAAGCCAATGCTAATATTTTTATATAATACGCCTTCTCAACATTTTTATCAATAATAATAAGTCAGATGTCAATTATGCAAAGAATTATTAAATATAAAAATGCTCTACCAGTGCTACTACTATATTTCTGAATTCTAATTATTTATTCTAAGGCATAAAATTATTATAGAAAATTAGATTACAGATTTAAAATTTTAGTTTTTACCAATGCATTTAAACACTACTGAGATTATTATGGAATTAGATACCAGATTAGGTTGCATGATTGGCTACTAATATTCTTACAAGTAATTTTATTTTTAAAAGTAATTGATGATCATACATACCATATCATATGTTTTGAATTAATAAACAAAGTAATATTTGTATTTACAAATTTGTTTTCAAAGGTAAATTTCATTCGCTTCCCTTGATTCTTAAATCAATACAAATTGATTTTACAAGAAGAGAAATTCTTTTAATTCTCAAAATAATTAGATTGAACTTGCCAGTCGTATTGAATTTCCTAACTTAGAATTATATTATTTTCAGGAATTGTAAAAAATTAATACCCAATAATTAAATATCAAATGTTATTTGACGACATTAAGGCTGTTTTGATAATGACTATAATGTGAACCATAATGATTCTTCATAATTATAATTATCAGTAAGTTAAAGTACACATACATAATTTTTCGTATCGATTGTCATGAAAATAATGTCCTAATGCATTGTATTTCGAGATTAATATTGCTCATTGAATATTTAATTTATTATGAATTGAAATTAAAATTAAAAAATCATTTACATTATAATATTGTCGAAGGTATGCGGAATCCCAAAAATGTTATTTTCTACAAAATAGCCTTTAAATTAAAGCTTTGAAGGCCGTTAGATGATTATATTTTATTTAAATATCAAATTTCTGCTGGTTAAATAAGAGTATCTTGAATCTTTTAAAACTTAATGATAAAATTACTATTTTTCATTATAATTTGTGGTAAAATTATTGATCAATTTGAAGTTGAAATTCCTAATGAATTTTAATGTTTGGAATAAGCAAATTAATGAAAAAATACAATTAATTTCAATATTTCTTTCTTTTCTCTCCTTCTCATCGCCAATTACATTTTACATTGTAGTTGATCATCTAATAGTTGTCCTTCATCATATTATTTAGTTTATAATTAATATAAATAGATATTATTTACAAATATGAGTAATGAATGAAGAATTTCTTTTATTTATTTTCTTAAAATTGTATTATTTTATGATCAAATATCGCTTTTAGAAATAATTTGAAAATTAACATTAAAACGCATTAAAACGCATTAAAACAGATTTAAATTAATAAATAAACATTACATTTACAATTAATTTCAGCACCTACTGTTTCAATTGGAAAATAAATGAGAGCGATGAATGAATCTAGCAAATCTTACATATTTATAATTATTTTTTTGCTTAAGCATAATTATTTATGCTTATTATATATATATATATATATATATGTATATAGTGAAACTAAAAAGAATTCGCTTTATTTAGTAGTATGCGTAGTTTATTTAATATAAAGATAATTTATTTATAAGTAATTTGAATTGCATTGACCAGATATTCAAAATTTTTGTATTTATCTACTGACTTTGTATTTTATTTTCCCTTTTTTTTCCTTTCTCTTTTTTTACCTTTTCGTCCAATAACGTACTATGTTGAGGAACTATAATTGTAATATTCAATGCTATACTTTATATTCCCAAAAGATTAAAAGCTTTGTATTCTTATAGATTTTTTTATTCATTATCTTACACATTTCATACTATGAAATATTTTCCAGGAACTTTCCAAGAGATATTACCGGCTGTATTGCCAATGTATCACATATACGGAATGAGCGTCGTTTTATTCTCAAAATTGTCAATTGGTTGTAAACTCATTACATTACCAAAATTTACTCCAGAAACTTATATCAGAGTTTTAGAAGAGCATAAGGTAGTTAATGATGTGAACGAACGCTAATGCTTTGTTTAAAAATATTGATAAACTTTTATGTTATTAGATTTCGTTTTTGACAGTTGTTCCACCGATGATTATGTTTTTATCGAATTTTGAAATGGCACGCAAAAAGCATATTGAAAATATTAAATTTATCTTAAGTGGCGCAGCTCCTCTTTCTCACAATGACGTAGACAAATTTTATAATAAATTTCAACTCAACAGTGATAAAGTTCAATTTTGTCAAGGTAAATGTATTTCTTTGAACGATTTTATAAGATGGAACTTCCGTCAAGAATTTAACGGGAGATCTGAGAAATTAGTTTAAATTTATTAACAATAAAATTTTAATGCAAAAACAAAGATAAGAATTGCATGAGTTTGTGAAAATCGAATCAACTGCTTGAAAAATAATACATTTTATTTTCAGGATACGGCCTGACAGAATCGTCACCATTGGCATTTTGTGAAATAACTTTCAAAAAATTTTCCAGTATTGGAAAACCTGTCTCCGGGTGCGATGCGAGATTAGTTGATCCTTTAACGAAAAAGGATATAGTTGGATCAGGACAAACTGGCGAATTATTGATTCGGGGACCACATATTATGAAAGGATATTGGAAAAATGAGAAAGCAACCAATGAAATAATGCACGGCGATTGGCTTCTTACTGGTGATATCGCATATTATGATGAAGACGTAGATTTCTACATAACCGACCGAATAAAGGAACTTATAAAGGTTAAAGGCTTCCAAGTAAGTATTTGCTGATTTGCGATAAAGTCGCGTATATCCTTGAATTGATAAATTTCATTGAATAATGAGTTACTATTAATTATTATTAACACAATCATATATTCGTTTACGATTATATTTAAATTCTGCAAAGAGTTTTTCAAAAAAAAAAAAAAAAAAAAAATCTATGAGATAAAATAATCATGCGAATGATTGATGGATAAATAACATAATATTTCGTTCTAATTGTTATCATTATTTTAATCATTCAAATGTGTAAAGCAACGTTTATAAGTCAACAAAATTATGATAAACTTAAATGACGTTTCTATAAAAATATTTAAACACTCGTCAATGATTCTACAGATAATTTCAATATCCTCAATGATAATATATTATTTGTATCAAGGTTGCACCAGCAGAACTGGAAGCGCTTTTGAGAACACATCCAAATGTACACGAAGCTGGTGTCATTGGTATTCCAAGCGAAAGATACGGGGAGGTTCCTAAAGCATTCGTTGTATTAAAAAAATCAGGTACCACGAAAGCAGAAGAGCTTCACGACTTTATGAAAGCAAAAGTTTCCGACTTTAAGGCCATTCGCGGTAAGTTAAAAATAATTATTGATAAATTTAAAACATTATTAAATGTCGATGTATATATATATATATATATATATATATATATATATATATATCTAAATTTCTCTGTTATGTACTTTGATTGTAGGAGGTATTGAATTCATTGACAATCTGCCAAAAAATCCATCGGGAAAGATTATGCGCTCCAAGCTCAAACAAGATTATTGTAAATAAAAACGCTTCAAATATATATTTTCAAATGAAATATCTTCTATTTTATATACTGTGCAATGTTTTTGAACTTAATACATGTATAAGAGTTGCAAATTATTTATATATATTCAGAACTTTTGAATATGTTGATTGAATAATTGAATAATAGTACTATTAATTCCTCACAATAATATGATAAATTTTTTAATTGTAAATATAGGCACACATAGAATTGTTAAATCAGCAACTTCCATATATATAGATGATAAAATTGTGACGCTATTAGGTGAAAATTTTTATTTAATAATTTAGTCTTTATAATCAACTTTTCGAAAATTGTTAGTAAAGGTTTAGATATTTATTGAAGCTATAAATCGGCTTAGTAAGATTTTTTTATCATAAAATTATAGAATTTTTTTAATTATGGATGCGTAAAAATTGCATGTAATATTATTTATTCTAAGAATTATATTGTTCGAAAACTTATTGAAAATTCTGTTATTTTCATTTGTTTATTGAAACATCAATGTTATTCAGTTTATGTAAAAATTTCATAGAAAAATATACATTTATGTGAAAGTTAAGTAAAATTATTATTATCAATTGCTTCTTTTTCTTTAGCACTTAGTACACAATTATTTAATAGAATTTTTTGTTATTTTAAAGCTTATTACTTCAACAAAGTTTGTACTTTTTTTAATAATAATAAAATTAATATTTAATGGCATTTAGTGATATTCAGTTGTGCAAGGTGGTGGTTGTACTACTGATCTGATAAATGTGTGATTAAAGTTGGAGACGATGGTAACACTTGTGATCAGGCACGTAATTATTTTATTACCATAAGACAATGGGTTGCGGAAATTAAAAATCTTTATGACATCGGGATGCCGCTGTATCGAAATCATAGCTCCCCACCTTTAAAAAGCAATGTCTCGTCGTCGGTATAGAAGTACACTGGAATGCTTTATTATCTGTCGGTAATTTTTAGCTTCCAATTAATTGAAAGCATTATGGAAAGATCGAGCTGTTGCTGCAGATGAAGAAGCCGACTGGTAAACCAATAATTATTCTCTTATATCTATCTGCACACCCCTATCGGAATCTTATAAAGTTTCAAAACTGTATAGCTTACATTTAAGTCCCCAAGAAAAGTTGCACAATTGATTATTAAACCTTTTTTGTAGGATATTTTTTTTTTTTTTTTTTTTTTTTAAATTTCAAATGAGTAAGATCATCATTTCCGATGTTCATTCTTCTCAACACTTTCGATTATTTAGTCATTTGATACTGGAATGTCGTTAATATAATTCAATTAGAATATATAGGAAATTCATTTGGGTTAGTCTGTGCTGCTTTCGTACCTATCATAAAGACCCTTTAAAGCACGTCGAGTCTGACCTCGTACTCTCTTCATAATTCATATCTATGCGCAGATAATGGAGATCACGTCGTCTAGACAAGATTCGTATTTTTGGTTAGCAGTTCGATTTTCTCTTTGGCCTTTATCGAGCATTCCACGAAGATCTTCGAGTATTCGCATTAGTTTTGATATCCTGTTGTTGGAAGGGAAATTTTATGATTCATATATTTATCTCTTAAGAAATACTTTTTATAACTCTTTATTGGTTTTGCTTATAAACATAAAATAAAAATAAATAAATAATATCGTCCGATTATTTAATAAACAATTTTAGGGAGTATCGCATGTTCAAAGCATCCGCGACTACGTTTATGTTTAAATTCTAATGTTACGGATGCGTGACATTCACTACGTGAAACAGTCGTAAAAGAAGCAAATCTACTGACAATCTTTTTGAGTATTAAGTATCGGATTCACGATAATATATAATATATATTTACCAAATCCACTTTGTACATCCGTAAATCTCGAAGTCATGCCTTAAACTGTTTCTCATATTTTTCATAAATATCGCATATCAAAATGTGCTCAACTCCACGTCATATATAAAATTACTCCTATAAGTGATTTTTCTTTATTCAAATGTCAAGCTATCAATCTATATATATATATATATATATATATATATATAAGTTATATTATAATTCTATTTTCAAACAAATAGAATTATTTTTCTCAAAAGACAATTAATTATTCGAGACACAATAATAGTAGACAATCATTCGAGCATATTTATAAAAGCCATATTAAAACATGCAATTTAACAACACTTTTAATAGGTTAAAATATTATATGCATCAATATTTTTCATTTGTAATTAAATCGTTAAGAACTGGTTGTTTTATCAACTATTTTTAAACATATTTAATTATTTTTTCATCAATGAACTCTAAATTATAAAGGGTGATAGAGGGCGTCTGTCGGACGAGACGACGCGTCGTAATGTCGCCACCCTTGTTTTCATGCTGCCAAAAGGTTCAACTCTCGAAAATTTACTCAATCACTTTCTCCCTCTCTCTCTCTCTCTCTCTCTCTCTCTCTCTCTCTCTCCCTCTCTCAGTCTCTCGCTCTTTCTTCTCGTTCACCCTCTTAATATATGATCTCATTTGTATTGTAACGTAGCTACGAAGGTCAGATACTTACTTACACATAGAAATGCTGACTTCCGAGGCTTTCAAAGTTTTATTATTATCAAAAGTTCCATTCAAATAATTGTTTTACAAAATTTATGAAATTACAATTTAATTATGCAAATGGTATAACCTAATTATATGCTACAAATTTATTGAAATCAATCAGAAATTTTATAATCACCCATGACAAGCGGTTTCACCATTGATTCATATTAGCAAAAATATTTATATAAAAAGATTTATATAACTCGAAAGATATATTCTGTTTTTGAAGATATATATTTTCTCATTTATTTTTGAATATAATTCAAATCAAATATCAAATATTTCGAAGAAGAAGCTTTTATCGCGCAATAGCAAGGTTTTGGTTAAACATTGAAAATAAAAGTTCTAAATATATTAAATTACTCTATAAGAAACATTAATGCATTATTATATAGCTATCTGATATTATTTCATATTGAAAACATTAACAAATAATATGATTAATTGCTTACAGGCAATTGTGCAATAATTATACATTAATAATAAATTGACCATAGAAAAATATATAATTAAAAATAATAATCTAAATAATTTTTACCAAGACATTATATTGCATTATGATATTTCATTTTGGTTTGAAGGGAATAGATTTAAATCTTGTAATTTCAAATATTTCAAAAAAACTCAAATATTCTTCCATATAATTTTTTAGTATTTTATATCAAAAGAAAGGATATTGTTTGAATTTGAAAAAAAAAAAAAAAAAACAAATAAAAAAAATAAAAAAACAAATGAAATAAAATAATTTAAATATAGTGATATTCGATAACATTTTCAACCTAAATGAAATAAAATATAAACGTTTCATCATGATTCAGAAAATCAGTATGTTGATAACATTTTATAAATTTTTTTTGTTAAAAAAAGAAACGGGAATTATTTTATTTTTAAATAAAGTTTTCATCATTCCTTTATTATATTGCATAAAAATTTCTCTCCTACTTAAACAAGAAATTACGGATTAATTACAAAATTTATAAGAATAGCAAACAGAGAAAATAACAAGTAAATTATCGTGTCAAAATCAAATAACAAAAAAAGAAAAAAGATATAATAAGAAAAATTCATAATATTTATTATTCCAAATGAAAGACGATTGACGATTCTCCGATGATGAATACTGTGATTCATTGTTCATTGTTCCTTTTACAGATTTATACATCTCTACCAGTAGTGCATTTTCCTTTTAATCTTAATAAGATTTATTTATGGATATTATATTGAAAAAATGATGTGGCAAATAATTAATTTTTATACGTGATGTCATGTTGATGGCCATCACGTGCCAATATAAAAAAAATTCATTGTTTATGAAATTACTCAAAGTACTATAAGATATTATTTTGTTTTTGTTTTTTTGTTTTTTTTTTTGTTTTTGCATTTTTGTTTTTGTTTTGCATTTTTG